TTTTTGGAATTTTTTGCGTTTGTGTGACAACAAGCTGATGATATTCTGGATGTTCTTAGAGCGGCCGTTGCAACGCTTCTTATATAGCATTTTGCGAACATAACTGGAACTTAAACATACAAATGCGATTCGATATTACAATAAAAACTATTTTTGGAATATTGTGAGGAATGTGTTTTTGTCATATTGAGCAATATTGATTTTAAAATAGGAGCTCAAGGAAGAAAAGTTTTGAGCAGGTTTCAGCAGCGTTCCCACCAAACGAGCAGCGGACGCACGCACAGTGCAAGCGTTCAAGCAAACCACCTCTGAAGATGCAAGCCACTCGCGCTTGCGAAACGTCGGGAAGAAATTCTATTTTTTGATTAATTCTTCAAACGATTGCAATCTTTCTTGGCCAAGTTGAAACACCCTGAATGTATATGCAAAAATATTTGCAGGTAAACGGACATGAGGTACCTTTAACGAACCCGCCACATGTGGCCATATACGAGGTCGCCTCCATGTTGGAACATAAATGCAATGCAAACTGCAATCGGACTTTCACCAGTCAGGGAGCAGTTCTGGTCAAAGCTGGAACAGCGATCAAAAAAGGTCTAAGAAACCCCGCAATCTTCTCCACAGCAAAAATTAAATAAACACACTTGTAGGTGACCATTTGAGCATTTGCTACACCGACCCGCTATGGGGCACGTTGAACCGAAGACATCACTTGTATGAATCCAAGTTCTTCTGGTGTTTGTGCGAACGATGTGCGGATCCTACGGAGTTTGGCACCTATTTCAGTGCGATTCGATGCCAAAAACCGTAAGATTTGTTGTTGTGAACACCTGCTGGAGAACGCTAATGCCAGTTTTACTATGTAGGAACTGTTCTGGTTACATCCTGCCCTCCTCGTTTCTCGACCAATCCGCCAACGGAAAACTGCCCAATTGGACGTGCAACAAATGCGAATCCTCCTGCAATTCGTACCACGCCCAGGAGATTCTGGACCGGATCGGGCAGGATCTTCACGAGATGGAAAAGGGGACCACAAAGGCGGCAAAGGACTTTATTAAAACCTACGAAAAGTATCTGCACAGCAACCACTACTATTTGGTTGATGTGAAATTGGCTCTGAGTCAATTGATGGGTCACGAGGATGCGTTTGGCCTGCCGGCCGTTGGAGATGACGATCTACAGTACAAGGCGCGCTTGTGTCAAGCGATCGCTAATTTGGTTAAAACTTTAGCACCTGGTAAGGATTTAACCATCTAGAGTGATACACACAGATTATCTAATCTAATCTAATATTTTTTACAAACTTCTTTTTGGGTATTTCGCCTCAAAGTTTTTTGTCTTTAAGACAGAATTTCCTCACGTCTTTTATTACAGATTGATAAATAGTGCTCCTATTTCGCAATAAGAACGAATTATTTATCAAAAAGTAATC